GTGAAGTTGTGCCACTTACTTGCTTGGACTCTTTAGTTTTAATGGAAAGATTTATCATTCCAAAGAGTTTCCCTGTCTTCAGTACTTAGTACATGGACCCTTGGAAATCCCGACTGTTTTGCCGTTATTGGCTCCTTTCTTTATGTAGCGAATGTTTTCCTCCCTTTTTAATCACAGTTTTCTTTATTGGAATGTGCAGAAGGTTTTCTTATATAAGCAAAATAAAAAACCCACTGTGATTTACACTTGACTTATACAGGTCATATAAGCAAAATAAAAAACACACTGTGATTTACACTTGACTTATACAGGTACAGTTATGCAACTTTCTTTAGCTTTGTTGTGTTTTTTGCACTTAATTAAATAATTTGTTATTGATAATGAGCAATTTTGCAGGTAAATTACATCTGATTAAATGCAATAGCTCATTCTTCCTTACTTGTATCTTTAATTGCTAAAACCAAGATTGTCCTGTGTGTTGAGATCGTTGCTGAATGGAGGGGTTTTTTAATTGCAAAGATCCAGGCTTGATGAATATTTTAAATACTTTTTCTGTGATACTGTACACAGAATATCCACAAGAGGGAACTGTCCTACATAAAGAGGAGTCATTTCCTTGCTGCTAAAATACTGCTTTCTGGAACCAAACCCTCCGGATTTATGTCAAGCTGGCATGATTGTGTCCCGGCCTATGCTATACGGTAGCAACAGGAAAAACACAGGTAAACACAGTGTTCGTTACGTTCTGTAAACATTATTCAGTTAAATAAGTAAATTTTGAGCTCTTGTGTCGAAATATTAAATAGAAAACTATTCTGAAAACTAATCCGCCTAAGTTTTGTGTTTGCTCGGAATAGATCTCTCCAGGAAAGAGAGCTGGAGAACCTTGTTTGGTCTGAAGGCAAGATGAAATGCAGTTGTTGCCACAGCAAATGAAGCATGCAGCTCCGGTGTGCTTTTTCAAACTCCACTTTATAAAACCCGTACTAGAAAGCAGGCCTTTCCTTCTCCATAAAGGAGCAAGCCCAAATGGTATTTAACTTGAGTGATACTCATTCAAGTACCATTTGTATCTCTACCTACACATCGGTGAACAAAATACAAAGTTACCTACTTTATATATGCTTTGTCTTTAGCAGATAATTCCTATTAAGCAAACTTTTCACTGGTAATGTAAGTCTCACCAGTTGATATCAATGAGTTTACCTTTGTATGTGAGTTTCATCGTAATTAAGTCTCACCAGTTGATATCAATGAGTGTACCTTTGTATGTGAGTTTCATCGTAATTATTTGTAGAACTGAGACCTATTTCTATGAATAAGAGGAGTTCTGCTTGTATAGATAACAGGAAAGGTTTTCCCCTGGGTATATAGTGTTACATTTATTATCTAGAGCTCCTAATGTATGTGTTGGTTGGTTTATGAATAGTTTTTGAGTAGCAGAACTTAAAATCCGCCTCTTAAAAGTGATCACAATAAATCTCCTACCCCTGTCCAAATCTGTGTGTAAATGTTGTGTAAATACATTCAAAGCAAATTATTTTAAAGTACAGCCTATATACTTTAGTGTGCTTGGTTTGCTTTAGGCAGAAGTTTTCTTTACGACCACCCTTTGTATTTGTGGGTACGGCATTATGGGGATGCTATTTTGGAAGTGCCCAACGGTCCCGTTTGCACGCGGGGTGCTCCCGAAACCAATGTCTGCAGCACTCAGCTGCAACAGTATCTGGGGTCAAATAAATACTTTTTAACTCACACCTTCTGAATGTTTAAAGTGAGAAAACTTAAGACTTTTAGACTGCAGTCTCTCTGTCAAATCTTCTGGGCCCTCTCAAACAACAGCAAGAGAGGACGTACGCCGTATCCATGGCTTCGGAGACCCAGCCCTTGTTATCTACCAGAGCAGAATACAGAAGAAACTCCACCGTGCAAAAGCCTTCCCTGGGATATGCTGTGCTACTGCTGTTCATTGCCCGGGTCTTTCAAGGTGCAAAGGGCTTGTGGTTTCCATTAGCTGTAAGAGCATCTGTGAGTACCTGGCACTTCCGAAGATCAGGCATCGGGTGGCTGTGTTATGATGCTCCTGCCCTTGTTCCACTCCTGGTGTTTGCTGATGGATATAAGGATGCGTAGGTATCCGTGCAGCTGTGAAAAGGGTAGTCCTTGAACACCAACCCAGAAACGCAGAGCAAATGACTATCGGGTCCAGGTTCTGAGCCCAGGTCCCAAGGTGTGCGATCCCGTCACGACAACGCTTTGTGGCCCAGGTGGCTTTCTAGCTGTGGGGAGGGTTGGTAATGAAAGACATGGGAGGGGGTAGCAGCTGTGGCAGCGCAGTCTGGGGTTGCATGTGGCAGCTGTGACACGCAGTGTCATTTTCAACCTGACGTTTTCTGCATCTAGCAATCCTCCACTTAACTCCCTCTTACAACAGCCTCCTGGGAATGGGCTGCTTCAGGTGCACTATGTAACCAACTATCAGTTTTCCTCCGGGATACAGTAATGTAGTATTTTCTCACTTGTATATGCCTCCATATTATTGTCTAATGCTTTCTCTATTCAGAGGCCTCTATTAATCCCTTCTTGAAAAAGGAAGCCCTCTCTTGAAGGGGCAGACCGGAGGAACAGACTGGAGTGAGACACCATGATAAACTCACGAAGTTAAGACAAATGGTGCTGGTACTGCACAAAAAAGTGGAGGTGAGAGGCTTAGACAGCCCCATAAAAAGCTTTGAGAACTCCTAAAATCTCATTACAGTCACTTAAGTAGAAAACAAAAATAAACAAACCCATGGCAGACGCAGAAACAGGAACTACTACTAGTAAAGGTTAAGAGATTACTATTTCATAATGGTGGCTCTGTGCATGTGTAGTGACTAGATCAGACGGGGAAATGTCACGCACACACAGGCTGTTGTGTTTTACCCTTGGAAAGATGTCAAGAGGATCTGCATAATACTTTGTGCAGACAACCGGGTGAGCAGACCATGTGCCAAATGGAGATTTTTCATTTATATACAAATATAAATAAATATATAAATTCCTCTGCTTTTCAATGGGAATCTGGGGGGAAAAAAAAAAAGACAACTATCCAG